TACATGTATGTGCATATGTACATGTAAATGTTTATGTATGTGTGTATGTATGTGCGTATTGAAAATGTGTATCTCTACATATAAATATGCACATATCCATCCATCCATCCATCCATCCCTCCATCCATCTTTGCACTCGCGCTCGACAAAGTCAGGCGAGGGTTTGTAAAGAGAAACTGCACCAGGCACGAACATTTTCAGCTCGGCCATAGACATTGTCAACGACCACCAAGTGACGATCCGTCCATCCGTACATACATATATGCATATGTGTATCTGTATCTATATATTTATATTATATACATATACAACTGACAGACAAGTAGACATACAGATGGATGACTGACAGATGCAGACAGGTAGACGGATAGATTTTGAACTAGACAGGTAGATACATGGTTAGATCGATCGATAGATAGGTAGAGAAATGGAGAGACAGACAGACGGACAGATAGACGGATAGGCAGAGAGATGGATGGAAAGATACATGGACTTAGGTAGAAACGTAGATAGTTAGATAGATACACAGAGCGAAATATCGATAGATGGACAGGTGGATAGACAGATAGCGGATGAAAAAGAAAGGTACTGACACAGCCAAATAAACATAGATCGAATAGACAGATATGTAAACAGATGGATCGATGGATGGGCGGAGGGATGGATGGATGGATTGGTTAGATACATACGTAGGTAGATAGGTAGATAGCTAGATAGACGGAGAGATGGGTAGAAAGAGAAATAAAGATAGAGGGATACATAAAACGATTGACTGACAGATGTTGTTCGGTAGACGGGTAGACAGAAAGAAAGAAATATAGATAGATAGACAGAGAGGGAACGGACAAGAGAGAACGAGAGAGAGAGAGAGGCAGGCCCAGTCATTTACATATATATATATATATATATATATATGTATATATATATATATGTATATATATATATATATATATACCTAAATATTTCGTTCGACACCTATACACACACACACATATATATATGCTCACACCCCCCCCCAAGACCTACCGCGAGGTGCTTCGGCTAGCAATGGGTAGTAGAACATGTAAGGATTTGAGGAAACCATTAGGATAAAATACACTCATACATAAACAATGGAAACGTATATCGTGTATAATCAATAGCTGAATACACTGTAATGACCTACGACGGCGCGACATCGCCGTTGGCGGATTTGGGCAAGCTTCAATGCCTGCAATTGTTTAATAGGATACTGCCTAAATGTTCCGGATATTCATAACTCTGGTCATATAATGACCATAGGCATAACCCGAAGACAGGACCAAGACAGAACAGTGTCTACATCCTACGTAAGATCGTTAGATGCGCCGGGTAACTTTGTGTTTGTCATTGTCTGTTTTTAATTTTGTTCATGTACTCATAGGCATAACCCAAAGACGGGACCAAAACAGAACGATGTGTGCATCCTACCTAGGATCGTAATGAGGGTTACATGTGCACACATGTTTATTCTGTGTGAAGCTCTTAGGTTACTCATGCGCCAATGTGTATAATAGCTATTACTAGTGCGAATACTAATACTGATACTAAGATTTCTATTCCTACGAATAAGGATATTACTGTTCATAACATAATAGGCTTAATGGTTATCACTAGTATTAAAAATTGCACTACTAATTCGAATAGTAGTGCTGATGGGAATATTAACACTCCTGGGGATACTAATACGCATATTCTTATTAACTGTTCTCAATATGAATACTAATAGTACTAGTTGTTTGGAATACTAATACTTGTCCGAATATTCATACCAATACTCAGGCTACTGCGATTATACATAATAGGACATTAATATGGGTATTCGTATTAAGGTCAGCATTTCCTTCGAAAGTATTCATATGCGCATCATAATTCATCTTAATACTCGTACTGATATGAATTAGTATGATTACAAATACTTTTACGAAGACGGGTACTTTCAGTAATACCGATACTAATATGAATACTAGTGTTCCTACGAATATTAAAAAACATACCCATATTGATAGTAATTTTATTTTTTATTTGTTACCAATATACACGCAAATGCTAACATTAATACTAATATGCACATAAGTGATACAGTTCCTCCGCAGATTAATGCGCATAGTCTTATTAATTATTCTCAGTATTTATATTCACATTAAAAAACCTACACTAACATGAATAGCAGTATTACCACTTGATACTCCAGATAATACGATTATGCATAGTATGAACAGCGATACTGCTATTGATACCAATATTAATGCTCCTACGAATACTAATAATCACGTTCAAACCAAATACAAAAAACAGACACATCAATGTACCAAAGAATCTGTATTTTCACATACCAATAAATAATATACTCGTATACTACTATTCCAATGTTACCATAGACTATGAGACTATACACTGGTTAATATTAACACTAAGAATAAGGCAGAGACTAAGACCAAGACTAATACGAATACTAAAACTCACACTAGACATTAACACTACCATTAGTACACCTATTGTATAGACTTATATTCAGACTAATACTAACGCTGACATTGGAATTGACATTGACACTGACACCAACACTAACAGTAACACGAATCAACACGCTAGAACGCAGATACTAATACTAACACTAATGCCTAATGCACATCTGAAGACTACTGCGCGTAAACAACGAAACCATTTCCGATCAAGCATGCTGCGCGCTGTATTGGCTCTAAGGCTCCGAGAACCAAAAATCCAAAAAACCAAAAAACCAAAAATCCAAAACCTTTGTCAGGGGGGTCGAAACTTTTGGATTTTTTGGTTTTCCTAGGGTTTTTTTGGTTTTCCAACAGAAAACCAAAAAAATCCAAGGTTTTTTTGGTTTTCCAGCAGAAATCCAAAAAAATCCAAGGTTTTTTTTGGTTTTCCAGCAGAAATCCAAAAAAACACAGGTGTTTTTTGGTTTTTCACGAGAGACACAGCAGAAAAACCAAAAAAACCTTGTGTTTTTTTGGTTTTCCACCGAAAATCCAAAAAAAAGCCATGGTTTCGCCAAGGCAAAGCCCAAAAAACCAAAAAAGACCTAGGAAAACCAAAAAATCCAAAAGTTTCGGGCCCCTCAAAAAGGCTTTGGATTTTTGGATTTTTGGTTTTTTGGTTTCCGCCGTCGTATCGTATGGTTTCTTTTAATGTTTCTTGCTTATGAATACAGGCATATGAATTTGAAAGCGGACATGAGTAGGCACGACGTTGTAAAGAGACATGACTTCACATCAGCCATGATAGAGAAGGTATCATCCCCGAAAATTACGCAAAACACGAATCGTATGCCAAACGCGAATCCCTGCCAAGAGAAGGTTTTAACGGTATTTACAATGGAAAAGAGGCCGAGGTAGGTCATGGGGGGGGGTGTGTCCATATATATATATATATATATATAATGTAATATGTGTGTACAGATAGATATACACATAATGCTTCAGCCTCAAGCACGGCGATTAAGCCAGCAGAATAAGGGCACTACAAGTATAATTGTAGAAAGGGGGCTGTAATAAACGTACTATAATAAGAGCATCATAATGAGGGTCTTATGATTTGCGGACAATGCTTGCGCGAGCGAGCGGCAAGGGTATCTGAAGCTTCGACACTTATCAGCGGCTGGATACCGTCGTATAATTGTGCGAAACACACTGAGAGAGACACCCAATCTCCCGGACGTAATTTAAAGGGGTGCTTAGCGCAATCTGCGAACGAGGGACAGCCTCCGTAGAAAAGGAAGCGGCTCAGGGAATCCTCTTATGGTGTGAACTTCTATCACGCCTGCAGCTCCCGCCAGAGTGCTGGGAGGAGCCCCTTCATCCCACTCAGGCTTGGTCGGTTAAGGGAACTGAGGTTGAACCTGTTGGGCTTAGGATTTTGAAGTTCTGGGTCGGTTGATACTTTGTGGAATGGCTACGGTAAGAAACCGCCCTGTGGGCCGCGGTCCTCTCAGCGTTGCTGAAACTGCCAGTCCACAATGAACTGAGCAGTGCTATTCCAGGCCTTAGAAACGGCGGGCAAGTAGGGCATGTTCGAGTATTACGGCATGAAGCAAGAGATGAAAATGCGGAATGGACGATCATGATAGCGCGGAGGAGGTCGATAACGCTCATGCCGGCACTGATGGCAATCGTGGCGACTAGTACTAACCCCTTCATCCGTTTAATAAAAAGACACCCCAATACAAAGAATTCCCCGGCAGGAAAAATTCCAGTTTCGAGCAAAAGTTCAATTATGACCAAGTTTAAACTATGTTGAATTGGGGGTCAGGTAGGATGGCCATAATATAACGGATTTGGAACTACCAGGCTAGGGTCGCATGGAGAATTTGGACGGCCGGCATTTGGAGCAGGAACGCGGCGTTTTAGCTGTCTAGCAGCTAGCATTGGAATTCCCAAGCTAGGGTCGCATGGAGAATTGGCACGGCCGGCATGGAGAATAGGAACGCGGTGGTCTATTCGCAGGCTGAGGAAGGTAAATAAGTCAGTAGTTGCCGTCTCGAATCCGAAACTCCCAGGCTAGGCAGCGGGGTGCGGATTGGGATTCGCAGGCTGAGAGTACATTGCTGTCTCGAATCCGGAACTCCCAGGGCGAGGTAGAGGGGTGCGTATGACCGCTACAAATACGCACCCCGCTGCCTCCTAGCCTGGGAGTTCAGGCTTCGAGACAGCAATTACCGCCCTAGCCTGGGAGTTCCTAACATTCCAGATCCCCTGCTTTTTGCGGAAACCGTCCCTCGCCTGGAGATTCACAATTCAGACTCGAATCGGAGAATCAAGCCTTAAACCCACCGAAATCTCCATAATGTAAAAAATTGCAGGCCCAAAATGACTCTTTAGATTGGGTGGGTGGGGGGGGTTATTAAACGGATGAAGGGATTAGTAGTACTAGTACTACTAGTACTAGTACAAGTACGTACTTGCCCGTCATCATCCGTCATCTGAACTGGACTTCTAAAACAAACCGAACTAGGGCTAAGGAAAATTGAATTGCATCCTGGAGGCTGTCAGAAAGTTGAATATCCCGCGGTTTGTGCCGTAGTTGATGCAGTTTGCGCCGTCGACGGCCTCGCCGTCAGCGGAGGAAGCGTGCTCCTCAGCTTCTGCCTCATGGGAAGGGCACGATGTGCTTTCATGTTCAGGTTCTGCATAACAGCTTGCGAGACGGAACTACGAAAAGCCCTGACCGAACTCAAGAGTGGCCTTCCCCACTGCGCCTCTAGACTCGAGACATCTGACAAACTGTGGGCGTCAGCCGCATGCGGACTGTGAGACGCGACAGGTGGCAGCTCAGCTCACGTAAAATGATCTTCTTGCTTGTGCCAATGACGTTCCGAAACTATATCATTTCAAGGCTATACCTTTATACCTACCGACTTGCATGCGAAAAATAAGTACGACGCCACCGCTACCACCACCAACAACAACAATATGATCAGCAACACCAACAACAACGACGGAAACGACAAAGACAACGGTGACCACAAGATACCACAAGTACAGCGACCACGACAACCACGATGGCAACGACATGCAACGACGACAATGACGGTTACAACTACGACAACGACGAGGCAAAGACCAGGACAGCGACGACCCGCAACGACGACAACGGCTAGACGACGACACCGACTCAAGGACCGAACGAACGACCTGCCGGACCGACCGTCCTCGGTGCACAGGCAATGCACGAATCCTGAGAGCAAAGCCTGACACTCTTGGGGGCCTCCGGCCATCATCATCGTCGCCGATACCGCATTCACCCACTCACTACTGCGCCCGTATACGGTTACCATTGCCATCACCCTGATTCGGGCCGCCAATGCAACTAGCATAATCTTGAGAAACATCTGCTGCATGATAACCATAATCTTCTGCATCGTCACCTTGATCTGTGGGGCAGGGCATGGCGAAAGACACATACACTGACAAAAGCCCGGACTTGTTTTCCCAAGAGGTTACAAGCTAGCTAACTGAATCTCACCAACAGAAACGTGTCTTGGAGGTTGTTGTGGCTCAGAATCGGAACAGAATCCCGTCCACCATGCATCTCAGCGGCGCGCTAGGAAGCGGTACCTCTTGCCCCTCGGCATACACCGTCTTTCGCGTCTCCTTCAACCCGCGCGAGAATCCACGCCAGTACCTCAAGATGGATCATGCCCGTCTGTGTACCATGAAAACCGTGTAGAAAGGTGCACATGTCGCCTCGAGCGAGACAAATCTAAGCCGTCTTCCTAGACGGCATTGTCAGCTCTAGAACCTGTGATTAACGCTCAACGCAGCCACCGACTCCTACAAGCCAATCCGTGCACCCGCCCTCAGGCTCTGTTCATGCTGGAAAACCGATATGATCGAAACTCTGTATCTGTAAACCCAAAACCCTTGTTCCGCTGCATCCGGGGCACTCTTGATTCAGCTCTAGGCCCTGCCCTGAGGAGACATGAGAGCGCACGGCATAAGGCTTGAAGAAACAGGTTTTGACTTCAGTTCAAGCGAAAGTTCGGTCTCTCGCCACGATTCTCACCGCTGTGGCCACAATTGCTTCCCATACTTATTGAGTACCTCCCCTGAGCCGTGGACGAAGCTTTTTCACCTCATCGGCCAGGATGTCGTAGCCACCCTGGGCTGACCGAGGGTTCAAAGCGGTCTCCGATCGGGTTCCGCTGCCAGCCAGGTCGAGATTTGTGCACTTGAACTTCCATCCAAGATTCCGCCCCCAAGGCCTTACCTATAGTCTTCATTGTAGCTCCTTTTGTGGTTAACCTAAACATATATTATAGGATCCCAACCATAAAACTGGTTAACCCAAAAAAGGAACTACAATGGAGACTATAGGTACATCCCAACCCTTTCCCCCGAACCTCTCAAACGCTAAACCCCCCACATCAACCCGCCTGAAGGTTGGAGATCTGGTCACCCACCTCATCCAGCTTCGACTGCTCTTGAGAGATCATGTCCTCACATGACAAGGTTCATATACATACATTATTTAGTTGTTTATTTATGTGTATATTAATATGTCTATATATATATATATATATGTACAAACATTTGAACGCTGTCCGTGAGTCCGTCGGTCCATCTGTCTGTCCTTCTATCTACATCTATCTGTCGGTCTATCCGTCTGTTTGTCTACCTGTCACTACCTGTCTCTCTGTATGGCTTCCTTCTGCCAGGCTTACGGGGCGAGTAAAGCCCCGCGGGCATTGAGCCTGCCCGTTTGCTTCTGGCGGACGCTTGGGAGGGTGTGAAGGCTAAGGATGCTGGGTGGGGTAACAGTGCAGATGTGATTCTATCTCTCTATTTCGGTCTCCATCTGCATCTGTATCTGTATACTTTGCGTAGACTTGCGTATGCATTTGAGCATGTCTATCTGTAGATCGTTGTGGATCCAGCTCCTTATCAAAACTACAGCCCTATCTCCATGTCTAGATATCTGTCTATCTACCTGCCTACCGTGGTAGCTATCGACTATGGATGTATCATTCTCCATTTACCTATCTCACGGGCTGTCTATCTGCCTATCTATCCCACAATCTGTATGCATAACACCTACCCGCCCACACACAAACACACACACACGTCCATTCATGCATGCATAGATCCATGCATGCTTGCGCATGTTTACAAATTTATGTACTTTATGGCACATGTGTCTATCTGTCTGTCCGTCCGTGCCGTCCGTGTACAGCGAGAGAGAGAGAGAGAGAGAGAGAGAGAGAGAGAGAGAGAGAGAGAGCAAGAGAGAACGAGATGAGGAAATAGAGAAATAGAGAGAGAACGAGAGAAAGCGAGAAAGAGAAGAGAAGGAGAGAAAGAGAAGGAGACAGAGAAGCATGGAAGAAAACAACCATGAATACTGTTTGAGCTGATCGAGTCCTGGGGTTGCGGCCATGCATGCCGCACGGGCAGCCTCAAGTGCCGATAAGCCTCTTTAGTTTCTTGTACAGTTTTCAGATCTGCTGTGTGTCCGAAGCTCGAAACAGAGACAAATACTAATACTGAGTTCTTGCCCGGCAGGTGTCAGAACACTGGTCTGACCATCGTCGTCTCGTCTGCATGTCGGTGCAGTGTTACCAGCAGTCTGTCAGTCTATCTTGTGCCCCTGGAGTATAAGTACAGTATAGGCTTGTCGCTATCGCTTGCACTATCTTCCACTCTTAAGTCCTTGTGCTCTCGAAGCTCCGTCGTGTGCAGGATGACTGTCTCCACCTCGGAAATGTTATGTGGTTTAGTGGCTGAGTCTGCACTTTCTGCCCCTGCTCCCTTCACAAGGACCAGCCTCGAGATCTGAACCTCCTCTGAGCTGTTTCACTGGCTCCCGCAGGACAGAGCCCTGAACACCCCTAAATGCCCCTGCCTAAATCCCACAGGCTTTTTTGAATGATCCCCAAGCACACCCCCCACCCTCAAACAAACCCACATTCTTCAAGCTTCGGAAACGAGCCACAGCCTTCCTCTGCTTTGCTTCGTAGGACATGCTGTCGAACATACCTTAGCAATCATAGAGTTTAGGATTTTAGGGCTTTCCGAGGGCTTCACTTGAAGTGTTTAGGGTCACAGAGCCCAGTTCTGGCTTGCATTCTCACACTTGGACTCGGCTTGAATCCCGGAAAACCGTGAAGAATCCGATTTCCGAAACAGCACCAACACCCCCTAAGTTGCGTGGTCGTTTTCGGCGGGGCCATTCTCGAAGGCTCCGGCAGGTATGAGGCTCATGCCCGAACGATGGTGAAGGGCAAGGGTTTAAAGGGGTTGAGGGATGATGTGTCTAATGATGCAGTTCTCAGTATGTCTTTCTGCGCGCTGAAGGCCAAGCTACTGCGAAGCATCCTGTCGATGTCCACCTTACCATCGGGGCCCAGCATTCTTGTCAAGAGAGCGCAGAACTCGTCAAAGTCCTTGCGTGACTTGGCAACTGCATCGATTCAGCAGGTTGTGCTCCAAATACCTACGCCACAAACATAAGCGACTGTAGTAATATGAAGCCACCATTACGCTCTGCATGTGAGTTTATCATGCTCCATTGTGCGAGCATCATTCTAAAGACAATGCTTTCGGTTTATTCTGATGCAGCATACTGACAGCCTGCAGGCTGCAAAAGACGTTGCTGAGCCATAGCGCGAGCTCCTGCCTGCTTCCACACAAATTCCAGTCTGCTGGTCCACTTCCAGATGGGTGGTGTATGTCTCTAGAACACATGCTATAGGTCAGGTAAGCCAGGGAAGCCGTCTTCGGATCACGCAGAAGGCCAGGGAGGATTCATGTTTTTCGGGGCCGGGGGGAGCAAGCTCGGCTGGATGAGGGCAATGTGTGGTCTGACCTACCTCGTTCGACCCAACTCGAACTGCATGTCGCTGGTTTCGACACATAAGAACTTAGACAACCTCAAGCTGCAGCTCCAGACCCGAATCTGTAAGCCCTTGTCTGAACCGTCGTGATTCATGCCATGAGGCGATGTCGCCGCTCTTGTCAATGTCTATTGCCTCCAGGCCGGAAGACGATTCAGGTTTAAACATGATTAAACAGCAGGGCAAGCACGAGCTTCAAGAATGCGAATGGAACCCCAGACTGTAAACGACAGCGGCGAAATCCTCCAAAACACTTTTCCGGTTGATCTGCAGGTCAGCTACTTCGGGCAAACCGGACAGCACTGGCCATTGTCGGATGTCGGCATGACTTCCTCCTCTTCGCACATTGTCGGGAAACACCACACGTACGGGCAAACGTCGCTCTCTTCTGCACCATACTTTCCGGTGGCCCCCACGATCTTGGGCTCGATCTTGATGTCGGGATTGACGCAGTACGCGCAACAATGGCCATCATACTTCGTCGCGGTGAAGCCGGTTGGGCACTTCAGCTCTCCACAAACGACGTCCTCGCACGCGTCGACGATGCCATCAGTGGCTTTCACCTGAACCAACATCTTCGTGTGCCTGTCCTGGTCCATGCCGATCACTGCATTGCCTCCCAGAAGCTCTTCTGGCAGAGATGTCTCAACCTCGCCCTGGCTGGATCCACGAATGTTCGTAGCGACTCCCAGATGCACCAGAGCAAAGATCAGCGAGAGATGGCGAACCATGGCGAGCACAGCCAAACTTCAATCGAGGCTGGATTTGAACAGCTCGGGAGAGCTCAACAAGCGGCAGTATGGTCCGACGTCGGACATCGAGGTACGTCGGGCAGAGCTACTCCGATGTCGAAACTTGCATCTGCAGGCTGGCATATCTATACACTAATTATATTGTAGTCACCCATTATCGCTCAGTCCAGACACCTGGCACGTATCACACGGCATGATGACAAGCCTCTAGCATGGCGAAGACGATATCCATGGGTGGCTCCAGGCCGATCTGGTGCAAGACTGCGGTCAGCTCCTGTGTCCGGTGTAAATCGTCCACGCTAGGGCTAGGGGTCACAGTGCGATTTATGTTCGTTTTGGTTCAGAGGGTCTCGGGCTTCGAGCCGTAGCTTTGCTTATGTTATTGCTGAGCTATCATGTCAGCCACTGCAGGAACAAGACTTGGCAGTGTTTTACAAGCAGCCGGACATTTTGAGGGCGATTCATACAAAGCCGAACCTGCTACACGCATGCACATACTGACATATGTACTGAGTCTAAGTATCTGTGCAACATGTCTGATCCCGGTGGCTTGCTTCTACAGTGCGGCAGGACAATACGTCTTGAGAGGAATCGTTGGTTTGACCGAGCACAGCACTTCGCTTTGGCATTGCTGAATCTTCGAACCACCAATGATCTTAGGGTGAAGCGCGGCTGCAAGTATGCAAGCAGGACCGACTCCGAATGCCAACGTCTACTGTCTACTCATGGTTTACAAGGTTTATTATAGGTTTATAGGGTTACGGGTAACTCACAGAATCCAAGCTCAACTCTAGCAAGAAGGTGCTTGAGATTCTGTACATTTCTAGGGGTGCGGGAGAGGCGAATGACCGTAGGTTGGCTTGGGTGAAAGGAAGCAGGACTGCTGCCTCAGCGCACGTGTTTAGGGCTTATCCTTCTGTAAAGCCACTTTGACAGGGGTTCGCTCCGAAACGCTGATGGTACCGGAGCCATCCAGGTCGAACTCGTGGAAAGTTTGCTGGAAAGTAGCAATCTGCCTTGGGTTTAGGATTTCTTCCCCCCCACTTGGCAAGGACTAGCCCGCATGCAGGTTAGGAAGTTAGGGGGCTCAGCACTACGGCTTGAGGGTTGAGTGCTTCGACTCTCGCAACTTGGAATAAGGCAGGCTAGGCTTCACGAGGACCTGTCTTTCACTACTTGGCACAACCAGGTCCATGCAGACAGGCGATCCACACAAAGGGCAATACACAGTAGGACCGAGACAGTTCTTCTGACGAGAGCTCGGGAAATGCATACTCGAGGCGATTCAAGAAAACACTCTGCTTAGCACAGCTGGAGATGTGCTACCTTCCTGCCTGACGACGGCGACAAATTCTGTTCATGATGTAAGCGATGCTCATGAAGATCGAAGGCCAATACATGGGTAAGAGAAACGACAACGCGAGAGATGGAGATGGCGGATGCGGCATGTTGCAGCTGCCGCGCTGAGCTGATGTACAGCCTACTGAAGCTTTGTCCTGTTTATCCGGCAGACATTGAAATACTTTACCACTGCATGATCTGAATGAGAACGCACAAACACGCATACCAGCCGGATCCTTCTCCTCTCCTTTTTGTGCTATCTTCCTTCTGTGCTGCTTCATGGCAACTAGTCAACTAGTCCCGCCGTTGGCTTTTGATCTTCCTTGTGCTGACGCATCTCGACGCCCCGGCGCCAGCTTCCAGCAGCTAGGCTGTGCTAGGCAGCCGGGCAAAAGCTTTCAATGCAGGACTTGGCTACTCTCCGAGTCTGGATCTGTCTCCGTCCAGTCTCGGAACACAGCCACGTTGCCACCTGTCGGTGGGCCGCCGGGACTTCTGAGATTTCTGACAGCACGCTGCCGACAAAACCTATCCGAGCCGAGGCTGGGAGCCTAAGGACACTGCAACAAGGGCTCAAGCCTCGGATGATGTTTGCCTCCTTGCCTTGATTTGTGTCATCCGATGGATCCCAGCGTCGGATCTAAACGGCTGCAGACATGAATTCGCAGATGCCACGGATCTCGGTGTAACGCAAACTGCAAAAGCCAGTATTCCTACAAGTATATAGCAACAACAACGCATCCCCAAAATCCGGGCCAAACGTGCCTTTTGCACGTCTAGCTTGGCTGCATGTGAATGGAAAGCGAGAGCTCGATTGATCTATCAGCTGAGATCAAGCCATGGCCTGACACTTACGTTTATCAAGTCGAAACCCCCCCGAACTCTCATTGTTAACTCGGACTCTTGCATGCCGTTGCACGCCTGTCTCGCATATTGCGCATGCAAGGCGAAGCCTCTAATCTTGAGGGGATCTTCGCACTGATAGAGTCGGAAAAACAGATCCTACAAAATCTGGATTTGCCCAAGAGACTCCGCGAGGAAAGGTCACGGAATTTCCTTGCTGGGCGTGGCTGCCGTAGGCGTCTCCTTGGCAGACGTAGGCGTCTCACCCCAATTACAGGGACGAAGGCACTCATTCTCTCCTAGCTGATACAGCAGGCGCTGGATGTCATCGTCGCTGGCAGAGGCGGTGAGGGGGACGTACCACTTCGGATGCAGTGTGAGGCCTTCGTGGCGAATCCACCAGATGCCACCTTTGCAGTGAGCATTAGGAGGTCCGCATGGTCCGCTGTAGCCGTCCTTGCGGTACCACTCCTTGTAAAAGTAGCCGAAATCAAAGTCGCAGGGAGGATTGGTAAGCTCGGCAACCGTTGGCATATATGGATACCTCCTGTCAAAAAGCTCAGCGGCCTGTCGCACACGCTCCTGGTTGGCGGTGGTACTGTTGATTCCATTCCACCAGCCGAACTTGACACCTTCATCGGTTTCCGGATCATACTCCCGGTGGCTATGCATCCAAGACGCATAGTCCTTGATGCCCACCAACTCATCCAGGGAGATCTCACCCGCATCCTCGTAGTTCCAGGTGCACGTGCCGTTACCATTCGGCTCCATGTTCGGGCAGTAGCCTCCTGGCTGACTAGCCTGGCACGAGTTGTCCTTGTTGTAGTAGAGATTGTTCGGACAGGCACCGGGCAAGGTGTACCAGATGGCGTTGGGGTAGTACACCGGGTGCATGGGGAAGGGATACTCGCCCAGCTTGTTGCAGCCGACGTTATACCCGTAGGCGGAATACTCATACTCGTTCTTGTACGGCTTGAGATCTGGAAGATACTGAGCCTTGAATGCACCATCACCACAGAACTTCGGCTTGTAACCTTCTGTTGTTCCGTCCTTGTTCGTGACATTTGTGCGCCCGCAAACAAAGGGGCCTGTGGCCTGCCCCTTGTCATAGGCCAGGCGAACTCCGAAGTGCATCCCGAGCCGAAGAAGCGGTGCAGTTGCACGCATCTGCACCTTGTAGCGCAGAATTCGCGTGATTCGGAATTTGCGGGGCGCTTGAATGACGACCTCATGGTGGAGGTACCACAAGACACCCGGCAGGCTGCCCAGGTTGGTGTTCAAGGGAGGGTACACTTCGTCTGACACTGCACGGTACATGTAGAAAGTCAGCAACGGGGAATCACTAGGAGCATTCAACCCATCCTTCCATGTCCAAGGAAGGGCAGTCACGTTCACGGAATACACGTTGGCTGGAGCGGGTGGTGTCGTCTCCACAGGCACAGCCGCAACGGGTGCGGACGGCCGGCTGGTGTCTGGCAAATCCGGCGTTACAGCGGGCGGCTGCGGAGGAGGCCCTGGAATTGCAGGTGCGGGCGGAGACAAACATACTGCTTGGTAGTCCGAGCAGCAGTTGCCGTAGTCTTTGCAAAGGCTGTTGCACTGACAAGGTCGCCAACTGACGTAAGTCTCTGCACAAGTGAACTCACCACAGCTACCCCACTTGGCTGTCGATGCTCCGCGGAAGGACGTGGTCTTGTTGATCGCCGAAGCTTTTGGCAATGCTGCCAAAACCGGTGTCCCTGCATTCCTCGGATCCTTGCACTGCTGAATGTAATCATAACAACAGTTCTGATTCTTGAAGCAGTCTCTGTTGCACTGACAATCCTGCCACCTTACATACTCATCCTTGCATCCATATCGTACACAAGTTTTCGACTCAGTGAGGATCTGTGCATTTGACTTTCCATCCTGAGCTGGCTGTCTTAAGGACTTTTTCGTAGTTGCAGCGCAGTCTGGCCCTTGGCACGGATTGTCTGAACTCCGTGCCACTTCCTCGCAGGCAGATGGCAGCGCAAAGGCTGCGAGGCATATGCCGACCAAGATCTGGCGCATGAGGGTCGTGTTACTTGCCTGGAAAAAGCGGGCACCACGCAGCGCTGCCTCAAGAGCCAGCTAACGGCATGTTCGAGCCGCGAAGGCCACGTCAATCATCATGCTTCATTTCGATTCCCCCCCCATGGCGCTGACACCATGGGTATGCTCTACGACTCTCGAAGAGTCGAACCCACAATGCTTTCCAGAAAGTCGCATTGTAGCCAGGTTGGGTTTAGGTTGGAGTCGCGTCCCCTAGATTGAACAGCTTCCCTCATTCGAGCCTCGCCAGCTTGGAGCTGAGAGTCATAAGATCGAGCTTTGGTCCAATTTAAATATTCCGACCTGACCTACCCGTCAAATGCCCTGATGCTCGAGGGCCCCAATCCGGTAGAATGCTCAACTGCAACCTGGCAGCTGCTCTGTCAAGAGGATCCCGCTCTTGAAGACCACACCAGTCTTTGTATCTTCGTCGTCCTGCACAGCTCTTTCGAGACCGCTGGCATCTTCACAAAACTAGCCCGGAATGGTGTAGGGGTGCTTCAGGTTCTCCGGGTGTTACTTCATATGAGCCTCGTCGTGCACTGCGGAGCCTGTGGCTGGCGAAGTGCATTTCCCTACCAATCCTTCTCATTGATGAGACTTGGTGGTAATGCGGCAGTTCCAATCAACCCGAAATCCTACAAAACCCTTTACACCTGGACTATGCATATGCAAACCCTCAACCCAAAACCCTGAACCTGGGCCCTAAAGCGAAACTCCCAAACCCTGAGCAGACCCTGGCCTTGTCCATCTCATCCAAGCCCAGAACAGTTTCCATCCGTCCAGCTCGTTTGCCCAGAAGAACCAGCTGCTCACCAAGGTGCCTTGGATTTGGAGCTTATGCGTTCTCCTGCAGGTTTAAGACTTTCGGCTTTTAGGGTTTATGAGTTAGGGGTTCTAAGAACCAGGATTAAGGCTTTCAGGAGTTGGGGTTTCGAGTCTGGCACTCGGAAAGCACAGGCAGGGATTCACTGCGCGCCCATCCCAGCCCAAACTTCTAGAATAATGAACGGCAAAGCCCGAGTACTGCGAGTGCATCCAGATCCAAACCCGAATCAACACAACATGAAACACAATAATAAAATCAACAAACCCACAACAAAGATGTTTTTGAGTTAATTAGAACTAGAGTTCAAGGATCTAAGGCCAAGGGGTTGGGGCTTGAGGTTAGTGGCTTGGCCTTGCAACCCGGACAAAGTCTTTTTGGGCGAGGATCTCTTCGATCCAGCAACATCGCTTAGGCAACACTTAGGATCGCGTGTCCGAGGCATGAAGGTAATTTGTTTCTTCAGCTTCGGCCCCCAGTGATGTACCGTTTGAAATTTAGAGTTTCATGAAGGTGTCTCCGGACAGTGTCAGGAAAAATTCCAGGTAGGTGACCCTGGAAACAAAGCTCCAAATAGTAGGATGCTAGGCTGAGTATAAGGATCGCAGAAAAGTGAACGTTGAAGCACCCGTAATACTAAGAAACCGCTACGCGGACAAAAACGTCGTGGCTGAGATGACTACTTAATTATCATAGCCACCGACCGTTACGACTCTGGCTCGCTCTCCGACTTTCGGCAAGTCCCAGAAAGCCTGCACAGCTTTCCAACTCCCGGGTCGGATGCGGTACACTTCCCTACTACTCAGTTACTAAGTCTGAGTCTTTGCGCACACACACACACCAAAAAAAAAAACAACACACACCATCGAACCAACCGCTGGGCTTTGACAAGCAGCTCCGTGTTCTTTTGCGCCTGCAAACAAGACAGGTCATGTCACCACTGCCGTGGGATTTATTCCGGCCGCTGAGTCAAACAGCGGCCTACATGTAGTCTCCTGATGGTGAAGACAGTGAAGCTGGTAATCACGACGGCGCAGGAGGCGATACTGATGAGGTGATGTTGGTGACACGCGTGACTTTCTGCATGCGATGATATAACTCTTGGTCAAGCTATGGGACCCGGCAACGAGAGCTCACCGGAAGTTAAAACAAAGCAACGTTCTGCACAACTCAAAGGGGGAATGTGTGCGAGTGTGTATAAGTACAAGCTTCAGATCAGATCAAAGCACAATGTATATCCATATCTATGTGTGATTATGTGTGTATATATGTATATACACATCAAGAGACATGCACACCTCGCGACCGCGAAGTTCTGTTTACGACTTCGGACGGCGACACGAAGTGTCACCAAACTCTTGACATCCATACTAGGGCTGCGGCATACCGAAGCGCAGCTTACTTCACATGCAGTCATTCTTGGCTGGGGTACTATCCGTTGTACTTACTGGCTCCGGCGATGTTATTTCGCCGCTGCTACTGTTGCTGCTTCTGCTGTCGTAGACGTTGTTGTCATCGTCGCTCCGAGCTTTGGCTGCAATAGTACTGGTGGTGCTGCTGCGGTGTCGTAATGGATATCAGCTCTTATTGCTGGAGGTGCCACTGACATCATTTCGCTCTTGCTCACCAGTTAGTTACAGGTTACAGGCTGCAGTGCCTCCTGTGTCAGTCCACTCCTGCGGCGTCATCGTAATTTTCCGTGCCGGTGTATTAACCTTACAGTTGTCTCTTGCTCTTGCCAGTCCAGTCCTTCGGGCTGCTTCCCACACGCCAGCTCCTACTACAAGTAGATACCCAAACCGTCGGGCAACTTCCAGGAGAGGCCTGGCCTCCAGCTCTTGCTGGGACAGCTCATGGCATTGAGCTGTCAGCGCGGTGAGGGCCTTTACAGTAAGGTCTCTGTTGGTGAGGCCCCTTGAAGGCTTTAAACTTCACCTCTGGGGCTCTTTTCGGGGCTTCTAGCAGTAATCAGTCAGAAAGACCCAGTAATTAAGCAGCTGATTGGCTGATCCTGTCATTGATTTCTCTGTTAAGCATCGGATGTGCGCTGTGCGTACTGCCGCAGATCAGATATCGTGTCTGGTGAATCCTAGCGGAAGAAGACACCATCCATAAGTGAAACACCAAGATGTCTATTCCCGGAAAGCATGGCCTCTCAGCCAATGCTTCTCTGCAGAAAGCGCGAAACGATTGAGGACGTGTGCTGGGATGCTTCTCGAAGCTCTGTAATCCCATGCATCGTAGCACCAGCACAGACTCGACTCATATCTGAAACCGCCCAACAGCCCAAAGGCCACCTTGGAGTTCTGCTGGCTGATCTTCGTCACTTCTAGGATGGAAGACTCCATGTTGACCAGCACATCCTTGGGGCTGCTTATGGGCAGTATACTGAAAGGGAATCAATCATCTGAAGGGTCACGGCCCAAGGTGGTTTAAAGAGAATCACGGAGCTTCTTAGTGCGGCCGTGGAGTGTCAGTGATCCAGAACTCCGAAAGTGCTCCAGCAAGTGACCCTTCGTCGCCACACACACTCTGTCGGTTCCCAACGGACACTCTTGATCGCCTTCTTTCTCAGACTGCCCTGCACTGTGCCAACTCCCATCTCCCTTGCGGTTCCCCAGCATCCAACTCGCGACTCGAAGCACTAAACTCACTGGACCTAAGTCAGAACTTCCCGGTAGACTAGCAGCAGGACTCGAGACAACCTCCAGGAGCTTTGCGATGTTCCTGAGGGCTCAAGCTCCGGCTTCATGACAGCCGCGGTTAAAGAGAAACCTCCTTCTTCAAGGGTCACCCCATCCCCAACAGAACCCTTGTCGGATTTTATTGTAGGGGGTGGGTTCGTTAATCTCAGAAGGAACATAAAACAGAATACATGGGATTCAATGCCAGGCAAGACGGCAGAAGCCAGGACTATCAGTCCAGGGCCTCTTATTTCCCACACCAATCAATACGGCGCAAACCACCGAGATCGGGCATGAAAATTCAGACTGAGTGCTCAGCGTAAGATCGGCCTCAGTCTAGTCTAGGGATGGAGAGATCCAATCACTGACCTCGCCGAGTTTCTGCTTGTTCTCCGCCGCCAAGACCCGGTAGTCTGTGATCGCTATGTCAGCTTTGTTCAGCCTCCACAATCTCGCTCCCGATGCGACTTCTAAGACTCTAAGATCTGTGACTCGTTTCTCTCTGCCGAATTGTGTTTTTTTTGTGTTTGTGTTCTTTGGTTTTCGCCCTGCTCTGCTGCACTTTCACATCACTCAGCCCGGCCTCCTACATTTCTGATTGGAGCCCTTCTAAGATCCTTGTAAGGGCTATATAGAACCCTTTATAGTAGGGACCCACAATAATTATGCTGACACTGGCCTACTTACGGGTCCATCAAAAGTCGAGGATTAAGCCTCCGCCAGTTCTTGAAGTCTTCAGGAGCGCATATTGAGGACAGTTTCACAACAGCTGAGCAGATCAGTGGACAAACTGCCCCAAAGTCTCGATGAAGAACTGAAGAACCATGAAGCGGAACCATGAAGCACCACGGCCTGTCTTTCATATCATCCTGGCTTTTTTCCATGGCCTCCGCATCAACATGTGAACTGAATGCCCGGGACTGTTCCCGTAGATCAGGCCAGGCTGCAAGATGCAAGGAGAATGCTTACACTGTACACTGGATACAACTTCAACGATAATTGTGGAGTGCAGGCAGCTGGACTATCCCCCTATGTCATATGTAGACAGCCCTCCTGCAATCCCTCCCCTTGCCTCGGCTCGTCCTTTGAGGCTTGATGCCGCAGAGGATGTTGCTAAGTGCTTCTCCTCCAGTAGAGAAAGCTTGAGGGAGCGAGCGGCAGCAGAACCCGAAGCGTCCAAACCATCAAAAAACATCATGGAACCTAGGACCTGTGCGGTGCAACAGAAACCAGACATATCCCGCGAAGGAGAACGCAACAGAGCTGGTGCAGGACAGCCACACTCCGAGACGATGTGTACCACGGAGGCTACGCCACAACGGTCTGTGCGAGATAAATACGAAACCGCCTCCTCGCATGACATATTTGGACATACCGACTCCGCGGGAGGCTGTCAGATACATATGGGTAGTTGTCAAAATTAGGGTCCCTTCTTGGGTGCCCTAAATATGAGGTGCCGTACTATAATAGGGACCCAGAAAGGTACCATAATTTTGACAACCACCCATATCGACAAG